CCCTCGGCGAAGGGGCGAAAAAACACAGCGTGTCTCGGGAGGACGCACAATCCGCCTCGAACACGGGAACAGGGATGACGATGATGATCCGTGTTTTACACAAGCTTGATTTGCTTTTTCCCCTTCTCGTGAATTAAAAAAAAATGTCAACCGATACATGAGCACAGGAGGAAGATTGCGGACCTGCTGCGTGCGCGTCCATCCGTTGTCGTCGCGCTTCGGTTCTTTTGCGTCCGAAAATTCCTCCTCCTCCTCCTTCGCATTCTTATCGCCTTCCTTCCGGCGGTACTTTCTCAACGGCCGCCCTTTTTGGCACTCATCTGGGACACTTTGCGCAGCTCTCGTTTTTTTTTGTTTTTTTTGTGGGCAGCTAACAAGCTAAAAGCCACACGGACAAGCGAGGTCGATCGGAGACGAAAAGGGGCTGCGCGATGGACGAAAAACGGCGAGGAGCGGCGAAAATTTCGCCTCTGAGGGTTCGGTGGAGGTTTTTGCCATAATATGGCGGGCCTTTGCGCGTGCGCAGTACGCCCGTGAGCAGGTCCGGTCGGGAAATGCGTTTCGCGCATGCTCAAAGCGGCCACCCCCCCGGATCGGAAGTTCGGAACGCCGTCCGCAGAACCAACGCTCGAGTCGATCCCGCGGAAGGCGTCTCTTGTTGTCCGTGACGTATCACGGGGCCCGGATGTCGTCATCTGCTCATTAGCCTCACAAGCTAGCTCGGAGCCGGTTAGCCGCGAACAAAGGCCGCCCGCGACACGTGCTGCTCAACAGCCGCAGTCGGCTCGTCTCTTTCTCTCTCTTTTTTTCTTTCTTTGCTTGCTTGGCGCTTGTTGTCGTCGTTGTCCGGGCAAGATGTCTAAAGTCCAGATGCTGCGAGCGTTGGTCAACGAGCGGCTGAGCGCGGCCGTGGAAGAGGTCTTCGCCGTGTTGGAAAGAACCATAGCGGACTACGAGGAGGAGCTTTGTCGAACCAAAGAGGAGAACCGGCGACAGCGTCAACTACTCGACGCCGTTTTCAAACCTCAAGCGGAGGACGCGCACGCGCCAGGTTGCTTCTCTTTCCCTCGCGTTGTCGGTTCGCGTTCGCTC